GTAGGACATCTGTCCAGGATCTTCTGGCTTTCATCGTTTACATTGAGAAGTCAGGTGCAATTCTGATAGGTCTGCCTTTGTATGTTACTTGGCCTTTTTCTTTAGCTGCTCTTAATATTTTCTCTTTACTCTGTAGGTTTGATATTTTGATTATTATATGGCGAGGTGACTTCTTTTTCTGGTCGAGCCTATTTGGTGTTCTGTAAGATTCTTGTATTTTCATAGGCATATCTTTCTTTAGGTTAGGGAAGTTTTCTTCTATGATTTTGTTGAATATGTGTTCTGTACCTTTGAGTTGTATTTCTTTGCCTTCTTCTATACCTATTATTCTCAGGTTTGGCTTCTTCACGGTGTCCCATATTTCCTGGATATTTTGTGTTAAGGATTTGTTGGTTTTGAGATTTTCTTTGCTTGAAGACTCTATATCCTCTAATGAGTCTTCAACACCTGAGATTCTCTCTTCTATCTTTTGTATTCTATTGGTGATACTTGCATCTGTAGTTCCTGATCGTTTACCCAGCTTTTCTATTTCCAGCATCCCTTCATTCTGTGTTTTCTTTATCATTTCTATTTCAGCTTTCAATCCTTCAACTGTTTGAGTTGTTTCCTTCATTTTTTTGGTTGTTTTTTCTTGGTGCTCTTTAGATTCTTTGAGAGATTTGTTTATTTCTTGAAATTTTCCCCCATTTCATGGATTTTTTGTTTGTTTTTTCTTCAATTTCTTTAAGGGATTTCCTCGTTTCTTCTTTGAGGGTCTCCATCATCTTCATGAAATAATTTTTAAGGTCTGTCTCCTCTTCTTCGTCTATGTAGTGCTTTTTGGGTCTTGCTGGTGTTGGATCCCTAGATTCTGGTGGGGTCATGTTGTTGTTTCTATTGCTGAGTGACCTCTTATTCTGTCTTCTTCCCATCTCTTCTTCCAGTGGGTGCTGGTGGGGTCTTTCCGCCTCCACTGGTCTCCTTCCTTCCTGAAGCTGAAGCTGGGGATGCTGACATGGAGTTTGGGGCCTGGAAGGGCTGATTTCTTTCCTGAAGCTGGACTCACTGGGGTTGGGTTCTTAGAATGGCTGACATCTTTGCTGTGTGGGCGGGTCTCCTGAAGCTGTACTTGCTGGTGTTGGGGTCTTGGAAGGTCTGATGTCTTTCCTGTGTGGGTGGGTCTTCTGGATGCCAGGAGCGGCCCCGGAAGATCAAGGGGATGGGTGTTGGGTGGGCGGTCCCCACCTGAGACCCAATCTCACCTCCAGACAAGACAATTTATGGGAGCTTGGAAAAAGAGAAGCTGAAAAATACCTACGTGTGCTTTGCACTCAAAAATTTGGTCCCATTCATGAAGTATTGTTGCAGATCCCATGGGCTACTGATTGTTTCTATTTTGTCTATTTGCTATAAAACATGAGTCGACGGTCTTCAGGCTGGTGACATTTTTCTTACTCACTGTCTGAATCCTGAACATGTATAATCACATATGTTTATTTTCAGTCTAAGGAAAGCTGATTTTGCTGAGGAACATATTTAGAGTATGACTTTCCACATTCATTTCTCTACATTTATACAGGCTGATCCTATCCACTGCCCCCATGCAGCCCCCCCTTCCATTTCCTTCTTTTCAATGTAACCTTTGCTTCCATAATGCTATATGTTTTGTTTTCTCTATTCCCTGTCTTCACTAACCTTTCAACATTTCCTTTCTTTTCTATTTTTTTCATTTTTTTCATTTTTTCATTTTATTTTTGAAAAACTGAGATTCACTATTTTACTATTGAATGATGTCTAAGAAGTTTTTTAAAATTAGTAACTCATTAGTTAAATCTCTTCTGAATTTGAAAATTGTATCTTGTGGATGTAATTTTAACACTCAAGGTCAGAAACAGGAAGTTTGGAAACAGGGAGGCCAAGTCAGACTATGCAGTGAGTTTCAGGTCATTTGTCTAGGATACAACAGAAAATCCTGTGCTGAAAATTCTTGTAACAAAAGCCAAATCCAACTCTGTTCTGTAGCTTTTGTGATTTCAATTAGCCTTTTCTTTATTTCAATAGTTACTGTGATGAAACCGATATGTTTTTACTTTTTGTGGTTCTTTATTTTAAGTGGCACTATATTGATGATATTTTATTTTCTTCTAAAAGGAGAAAATAGAGAAATAGAAACGTTTGTAGAAATTCTGTCTACAGTTTACAGTACTTGAAACTATACAATAAAGTTACATAGCATAACCAATTACTTCCTTCTTCCTGTTTCTCAGTAGGAGGTTCTAAAGTGCTTTTGCAGTTTCTGCTCGAGCGACCATAATTGAAACCACAAAAAAAAAAAAATGAAGATGCCAAGATAGCAAGATTTTAGCCTGTATCTTTAGAGTTTACAGTGTTTCCAGAGTTATATATAAAAGCCTCTTTTTAGTTCCTGGTCTGGGCTAAAATCTTATTTTCATTGAACCCAAACACTGAGCCTTCAAAGAGTTCATTGATAGGCTACTTTATATATTCATATATTTTCATTATTTCTTTAATTTTTGTGATTATAGCATAATTACATCATTTCCCCTCTCATATTTCTTCCCTCCAACCTCTTCCCACATAGCTCCTTGTTTTTCAAATACATAACACCTAGTTTCATTGTTATTATTACACATATAACATATATATGCATATATTCATATTCTTCTAAATGCTTAAGTATAATTTTCTCAGTCTATGTAACATTACATTAATGTAAATTTTTCTGGACTGAACATCAGTATTTGCAAACTAGGTGACATGTTCTTAACTGTAGAAGAGTATTTGTCCATCTCTTAGCATTCTTCTATTGCCTAAAGTTCTTCATGTAGGGTTGAAGTCACTTCATGGTTGTCCCACAGCAAACTCCTTTCCTTTGACTTTTACAATCATTCCATTGTTCTTCTGCAATAATCCCTGCGCCTTAGGTAGATGATGAGCCAAAAATACACTCTACATTATGATGTTTATGGTTTTCTCTAAGAGTGTCCATATATTTCAAAGAGGACTTATTCTTGATGAAACTGGACAAGAGTTTCATAAGTTGTCATAATAATGTTATGAACATGGTTGTTTATTTTTATATAAATAGTTACACCTTGGGTACTGTTTGATATGAAAGAACATGTCTAAATTTAACCCTGTTCAGAGCTGAATTATACTTTGATTTTATAATCCTCCAGAATGAAATGACTGCTTTCATACAAATATATAATAAAAAATGGAAGCTATATATTTAAGAATATTTTAAAAATCCTGAAATTATGAGCCCAAATTCATTGAAATTCAATACAGCTACTTAAATTGAAATTTTTAAAAATCAAATAACACAATACATTTAAAATATACACTAATTTGATGCATGCTAATTAATACATGGTGGTAGATACTTGGTGGTAGAAATTTTTATTGTCCATAGTTAAATCATTAGGTTTCTGAAAGAAAACACAACTTTTTATTCACATTAACAATAATCCAATTAATAATGCAAAACTGTCTTTATTCTGAACTTCTGTGTTTCAGGCAGTATTCATTGGCACCACACAACATGATAATATGTGCAGTGTGTCTTGTGAATGTGATAAGGCAGTATATCCTTGGATTTTCATGTGCTTGACAATGAATGAATTTCTTGTCATTGTCTGTTCAGTGAACTTCTATTGTTGTCAAGTTTTTCACAATCTCCACATTTAGTTACATGATTCCCCTTTAGTTTACCTAAAATTTCAAGGAGCTGTGAAGTGGAAAAATTTCCCCCAAGGCCTAAGATGAAAGATGGACAGGTTCTCAGAATCTCTTCATTTTTGTCCCTTAAAAATCTAAATTTTTAGATCTCTCCTGTGATGAGTAAAGCACAGGCAGATACCCACAGACAAATACTGAACTGAACTCCTGGAATCCAGTGTCAGAAAGAGAGAACTGATGGGCAAAGGACTGAAGAGTGGGCTGGTTTAACCCACAGAAACAGCTGACCTGAATAAGGGGGAGTTCTTGAACTCCAGATTGATGGCTGTGTGGAAAGCATGGGACTGGCTTAAACCCCCTAACTGTAGGTGTCAGTGAGGGGCCTAGGTAATCTATGGGGCCTTGGGTAGTATTTATCCCTGGAGTACAAATAGACTTTGAGTGTCCATGCCACAATATGGGAGGCTCTCTCAACTCTTGGGGGAGGGCCTAGGCCCTGCCCTGGATGAAAAGACAGTTACTGGAGATCCTCCATGGAGTGCCTCACCCTTCTTGGGGATCGGACTGGAGATTGGGTGGGGGACTGGGGGACCTGGTGGGGAGGGAGGAGGAAGCTGGGATTAAAATTAAAATTAAAAAATAAAAAATCTGAAGTATATAATAACTGCAGTTTGCACATTGGATATTGTATTTTTACTCACTCATCAGTTTCACTAGAAAGAACAACCCTATTATTAATCCCATCTCTGTATTGTGGACTACACATGATTCCCATTCCTCAATACCTCACTGGAGATTTCTCACCAGTCCTTTCTCTTTTTCCTTGCTTTCTACTCTCCAAGGACACCCTGCATTCAAACTTAAACAAGCAACACTAACATTATTCTAGCAGAAACGTGTGTAAGCTTTTTATATTAAAATCTTATAGATGACTTTAGACATCAGGTGGAGAGCAAGTTCTCTATTGTAACAGTGTCACTGATTAAAACTAGAAAAAAAGAGTAGTATGAGTTCATTATGATGTTCTGTGTAAGTCAGCACTTAACATACAACATTTCTCACAGAAAGATAATATTGTCGAATCCATTTTACAATGCTGCTTACTAATGCAATCCCTTATAATTCCATGATTATGATTGCCTCATTTTTCCCACCCTCTGGGTATAAGAAAAGGATGATAAAATCATTTAATTAGAGAATGTCATTTGCTTACAAAAGCATTAGTGTTTGGATATACGAATATACATCATTTCATTTAATGGGACTTAACAAAGACTGGAGACAACAAACTTACACATTCGTCATAATCCTTATGAGATTTTTCAGAGACTATTTCTACAGTTTATTTAAATTAATAACTACTTCAGAAATAAGGAATGGTGCAAGAATGCATACTGTCATCCATTATTATGAAACAACTGTTTTATAGGGTGAGTAATTTTTGATTCAATTATCTACCTGCTGATAGTTTGTACATATCCATTTATGCAGTTCAAAAATGTTGTCTTATTTATTACATTTTTATGAAAATAATCCCTGTCTCAGGTATTGTATCACAGGTTAAAACACAATTTAAAAAATAAGAACCACATATGGCTATGCAATTATTAGCATACTTGTATAAATTAAGGAAGGCTTAATACATTCAGAGGTATGATTGCTTCAGAAATTGTCTTTGAAAGATCCCCACAACTCTTCCAGATACACACGTGTAGAAAGAGAGATGCTGAAAGAGAGAACAGTGAAAGTGAGGTGCTCAGAAATGATAATGATGGGTGCCCTCTAGCTCTGCAGTAGTGTGATATCATAAGTGTAAAATGTTCTATTAAGTGGGGGTCAGAAAGATGACTTTGTCACTTAAGGAGATTTTCAAAAATTGTGTTCAAAAATGTAAATCCTTAAGGTGATGTTGGACCATTTGGACAATTGCAGGACTTTGCAGTTTTATAAGAATTTTCTTCTAGGTACAATATTTTTCTTAGGATCTTTGAATTTGTAACAGAATAGCTTAGCTAAGCAGCATAAAATAGGCTCTTTCTTTAAGAACTATACTTTGAAATTTTCTATATTTTATTTGAAATGTTTTGATCATTTATACTTACTATGAATACCAACTTGGCTTGTTTTTAGTTTTAAAATGTCATTTATTTTCTAGCTATGATATATTATTGATCTATTTTTACATTTTTATTTCCCTCTTCTCAATTAAATATATTTTTAATATTTGTACATTAGCACTATTGCCATATTACTGATACCTTCATAGCTGTTGTAGAATTACTACTACTAGATGTATTTTAATTAAGCACACACAACTGTAAGTCATGTGGCATTTTAAATATATCATTAACATGCAGGTTTGTGCATCCTTTCTTTGCCTATTATTTTAATATTTTACTTTTAAAGGGATTATAAACCACAACACATTACTTTTTCCTAAAAATTTAGTCATATTTCAATAAATCTAAAGGAAAATCATGATAATAACACTAAATTCCAATCCTGTATTATTTATCATTTCTGGGTGAAACCACAAAAATCTATATGCATCATTTCCTTTCTACCTAAAAGTTTTCTTTTACATTTTTTCAAATGCAGGTTGTTTAAAATGCATGTTTTCTAAATGCTTATTCATGAAGTGTGTTATTTTTATTAATAAACACATGCCATGTACATGAACCAAATCCTGATAAAACTTAAATTGTAAATCAAAATGTTTTCAAATATATACATACATGAAAACTAAGGAATTCAGTAGTATATGTCTCATGGATAATAAAACAATAAAGAATACTAGAATTTTTCATTTTAATGAAATTTTTTTTAAAAAGAATCTCCAAATCTGGATGAAACCAACAGAGATGACTCACCAGACACAACACTTATCCTACAAGCCTGAGGACCAGAGTTCAGTTGCCTATAACTCATGTAAAGTCAAATGCAAAACCAGATGTGGTAGTGCTCCTCTGTGGTACCAGTGTATCCATAGGAATATGGAAAATGGATAAGGGAGATGTTTCAGATGTTTAGGGGTCAGCTGGCTTGGGGAATGCAGCAAAGTAGCAAACAAAAAAGGGACTGCCTCATATCAGGATGAAGGTCAGGACTAACACAAATTTGTCCTCTCACGTCCACATGTGTAATAACTGGTGAACAACCTCACTTATCATACCTGAACATATGCACAGACCACATCGCACTGATATACATTAAGACAAATACTTTGGTAGACTATAATGTATCCAAAAGAGAATTTCATAGTGCTACTATACTAAATTTCATTAGCAAAAGGAATTACAATTAATGAATTAAAATTGTAATTTAATAAACAGAAAAGAAACTGAAGCTAAAGTACACAAAAGAAAAGAAATAATAAAAGAAATTGAAAACTTAAAAACTTGTTTAGGGAAACAGGAAATAATTAATCATCCAGTTGCTAATATTATTCCTCACCATAAAATGCCATTTATGCAACAATAAAAATACCTGCAGCGATTTTAATGAAAATATTTAAAAAAGATATTATGCTACATTTTCAAGATATTTAATGGATTAGCAGAATCACAATTATTAAATTTTTATAAATTTTTACTTACACAATTTACTTATTTAGTTAGATATTACTCAAAAGTTATGTGAGCTGTCTCTCTGTCTCCACCCTTCTCTCTCTCCCCCTCTCTCTCCCTCTCTCTCTCTCTCTCTCTTTCTCTTTCACTGTGTGTTTGTGAAGATTAATAAAGTAAGCTAAAACTTATAAGGAGATAGAAAAATAGAAAAAACAATACTTAAAACAAGTTTAAAACAACAACATGAGAAATAAGTCAAAGGTAAAAGATATACACTATTGGATTTTTGAGACAAGCTAAAAATTGCAGCATTTACGGTCCAAGTGTAAAGGCAAAGTGATAAGGAGATGCCAAAGTATTCTGGTGTGTGTATATGTGTGTCCATGGAGGTCACAGGACAACATGGGGCCTTATAGTTCAAGGGAATCTCACATGAAGTGATGAAGAGTCCCAATGATATATAATTTGTTGCCTGGAATTTTGCTAAACAGGTTGGCATCACCTGCCTTGGCCTTATATCTTCCATCCTTGAAATTGCAATTGCAGGTCACCATGCTGGGATCTTTTTATGTGAATTCTTGGATTTGAACTGAGGGTCTTACTCTTTTTCTCCAGGCTTGTACCTTAGAGACTGAACCATTTTCAGTCCCCCCAAGGAATTTATCTGAGATTCTGTAGAAACTTTGCTTTTACTAGAGCAAATTAGAGTTCAGATGTCCATAAAGAATGGCAACTTCATATATTGAGTCATTAATCAACAGTTAATATGAGTGAACTGTTGATGCTCCAAAAGCATGAGTAAAATTTCAAGTGATTATGCTAAGTTGAACAGCCAGGTTAAGAACAACAACACACCTATAATTCTATTCAAATGAGTTTCAGAAAGAGACAGAAATTTTAGAGTTAATAAACAGCAGTTTTTCCATAGTGATACGTGGAAAGGCTGCAGAGAAAGAGACACAAAGACAAGTGCAAGATATACAGAGAGTAATTACTTTGTTTTGTACCTTGTTCTTAGAGATAATTCATAAAGATATAAGAATTTGTATAATATGTGTTTTATTTATTATTCTTCTTTGTCTATAATTTTTTAAAAATGAAGAAAAGGGTTAAATAGATATTTTAAGAGCTTCAGAAGGATGTTATATATTGTATCCCTGGTCTCTATTTTCTACCACTCATATCAATAATTCAGAATAACTATGAGGACTTCCTTCATTCCTTCCTTTATTCTGTCCTTCCCTCCTTTCTCTCCTTCCTTCTTTACCTCTTTGCACATTTTTTGCATTATTCCTGTGTACCAGTGTCTACCACAATTATTAGAAATAATAGAGAAACATGACAGCAAACTCTCCGGACTCATGGAAACCCTCATGTGACATAAAAAACAAAGTTACAAAAACAGCAGTGAGTTTCAGTCTTTGCTGAGGATAAACCTTAGGTTGAGTTTCCACATTAATATATAATATATGCAGAGACAGAAAAAAATACGTAGGGAATCTTATACATACTGGGGGGTTAGGACTCCCAAAATGATAGCAAGCTGTGATTGCTATCGAAATTGAGATCATTGCATCTCTGTCTCCACAGATATGTCATATAATATGATTCTAACATTCATTGTTTCATTTTCATTTTGCTTAATGGGAGCCATGCCTCATCAATGCTCTAAATACCTATACCATCATAATTTCTATGAACATGTACTCATCAAGCTTAAGAATAAATGTGAAAATGTAGGAATAAGATAGGGTTGCAGTCAAGTGGTAGTGGTGCATGCCCTAATTCCAGCACTCAGGAGGCAGAAGCAGGCAGATATCTGTGAGTTCAAGGCCAGCCTGGACTACAAAGTGAGTTCCAGGACAACCAGGACTGTTTCACTGAGAAACTCTTTCTCAAAAAAGAAAAAAGAAAAAAAGAAAGAAAAAGAAAAGATCGTACGTTATTATAATATCATAAATCAATATAAAAGAATCACTTTTTAAAAATTAAATGTTTACTTACTTTATCAGTTTAATTTGCACTAATAAAAACATTATATAATTGTACATAGTTTCATCTGAAATCAAACTCAGCCATACTTTGATTTCTGCAAGCAAACTGAGCCAATATTGCGGGGGGCGGGGGGAATAGCACAAAACAAAATAATAATCCACAAAGGGAAAGAGAAAGGAATAAATCACAGACAAGCAAGAGGAATATCAAAGAAAGAGTTATAAAACAAATTAGCTTTGAAATATCTTTGTCAATATTCTTCATGGTATCTGCATAAACAACTATAAAAATAGCATACACTTGGAGCTGGAGAGATGGTTCAACAGTTAGAAGCACTTACTGCTCTTGCAAGACTTACCTTTAGTTGCCAGCAGCCATATGATGGTTCACAACTGCCTGCAACTCATATCCACTGGATACATTGCCTCACTCCGACATCAGACTGCTGCCCATAAGTGGTGTACATATACCATTAGACACATATATACACAAAAAATAAATAAGTATAAATAATAATGTCCTCTCTGTGCCTAGAGAAGACAAAGTAAGTAGGACCCATACTAAAACATTAAAACTCATAGTTTTACTACGATGATGACATTGATCCATTGTGGAGTTCATTATATAAAAGGTGAGAATGTAAAAATTGTTTGCCAATATCACAAGGGACAGCTCAAGAATGTCAAGTAAATACTAAGGATGGCAATCAATAAAGACCAAAGGTTTCCTTCAAAAGAGGCAAGTAATGATTATAAATATGTGTCCCAGCTGCCAGAAATCAGGACCTGCAGTGCCAGCAGATTTGGCTTCAAAGGCAACAAAGGGATTAATAAAACAGTGCAACTTTCTTGTAGACAAATAAAATACAACATGAGCAGTTTCTAAAAAATTCTTGCCTGAATTTTTGTTCAGAGCTTGGTCTAGACTTTTCTCTAGCTTTAAAGGCAGTGCAGGAAGAAGGCTGCTCCCAAAGAGAAAAGGCTAGAAAATGTACTCACTGCTTTGTACCACAGGAGTCTTCTGGTCTGAGTAGCTCATGAAGGAACCTTGGTCTGAAGTTACTGGTTAACTTGGCCTGATCCATCTACCTATAGGACAGTGAAACAGAACTACCAATTAAAATTGCCTGAATGGTGATTTCTGGAAAACGCTATTCCAATGACATCTTCATCAACAAAGATAGAAAGCCCAGTGTCCTGGCTGACTTTACTCTCAACTTGAAACAGCCAAGAGTCAATTGAAAAGAGACATATTGCTGAAATACCAGAACAGAATGGTTTGTGGAGATTTCTGTGGGGCATTTTGTCGATAGTTAATTGATGTTGATGGTCCCTGTCCACTGTGGGCAGTGCCCACACTAAGCACATGGACTTGGGTTGTAAAAGAAAGCTAGCTAGATATCACCTCCGCAAGAAGCAAACATTTCTTCATGGTTTCTGCTTCAAGTTCATCATTGAGTGCCTGTCCCTATTTCCCTTAACAATGAACTGTGATCTGGAGGTGAAATCCAAACAATCTTCCCTTACCTGCTTTTGGTCAGAATACTATATCACAGCAATGGAGATTAAGTTAAATCCCACAGCATACCTTGATTAACGAACAAAGGAAGAACCAGTTGAACTGCTTTAAACACTGAAATTCTAAAACAAGACAAACTAGGACAACAATAAATGAGTGAATAGTAGTAATATATTTCTGGTTTTGCCACTGTGCCATACAAAAGTTGCAAGAAGCCACCTCTAAAACATGGTCATATTTACCTTACTCAACAGGATACTGCAAGAATTATGACAAATGATATATAAGCTCAGTGTAAATTACAATATCTACACAGATATTAGCAACTTATATGGCAATATAGCCATGATGGCACACTATTCGGTTTGGCTCCACACTCTTGTGATAAAGGAGGCATGCCATAAAATAAATTTTGAGGGGAGCATAGTCTAAGTCAAGTGGTACCGTGGCAGCAAAACAACAGCTGGTTGTCTGTATTAGTCTCTTCCACTGTTTTCTTCAGCACTGGGTTTCTATCACAGATAATATACCCCCTAATTATCAAACAGCATGTGGCTTAGAAGGGCTCAGTGGTGTGTGAAATAAAAACCTTCCTAAAGACTCACCATGGTCATAAGCTCAAATGGATCCAGAGGGGCTTGTCAAGTGGTGATGCTAGCTTTAATAACTTTTTAATTTGTTTTTTTTCCTTTGAGAAAAAAAAAGAATTCTTGTGTCTCATTGAGCAAATAAGATCTGAAAAGCAATCGTAGCCACCGAAAAAGGAGGAGAAAAGCATACAAGAGTTGAAGCAAAGATATCTGCTAGGATAAACTAGAAGCTAACTGTGGAAAGAAAATTTAAAATTAAACCTACAGAATTAGGTAGTGAAAAATTATCTTATGATGTCATAGACATTCTATAGTATAAAAATCCCAGTTAAGGTTCTCCTATTATAACATTTGGTACATTGATCAGTGGTTAAGAGTGTACATTGCTCTTTCAGAGGACATGAGTTTGATTCCCAGTATCCAAGTTCTACAGCTCACAACTGCCTGTAACTCCAGCTTCATAGTATCCAAAGTCCTCTTTGACATTCATAGTCACCTGCCCTGACATATGAGTAAACCTACACAGAAACAGAAAGTACTGTGACTGTTTTCAGAATCAAGAACCAACTATCTTGGTGCATTTAGATTGTCACTTGCAAAAGAACATCTCACTGGGCTTCTAGATGGATTACACACCCTAAATTAAGAGGCAGGCAGAGGCACGAGATTCTCATCTCATTGTCCACCTGCTAGCTACCATCTATTTCTGTAACTCTGCCTTGGTTACATGTGCTCTACAGGACTGGTTAGAGTTCATAAATGATGGGCAAGACAAGAACAGTGTCTCTGTCTAAATGGCTACATGGAAATTCTCTTGCCTTTGGGCAAAGACTTCCTGGTTGTAGCTAGCAGAAGAGAAACATCCACACCTCTGTAAGTAACTCTTCACTTATGGAAAGGCATGAAACTCATGAGTTCTCTTAGTGAAACAATGGAAGAATCATGCCTCAGTGTAGATGTTGTTTATGGTTTATGCCTCCTCCTGAGAAGGACTTCTACCTACACACACACACACACACACACACACACACACACACACACACACAGACACACACTCAAGTGGCAAGTGGTGCCTCTGGTAGTGGATCAGTGTTTATCCCTAGTATATGAATGGACTTTGGGAGCCCAGTCCACTTAGAGGGGTACTCTCTCAGCCTAGACACACAGGGGAAGGTCTAGGCCCTGATCCAAATGATATGACAGACTTTGAAGATGACCCATGGAAGACCTCACCCTCCCTGGGGAGCAGAAAGGGATGGAATAGTAGGTTGGTGGGGAGCAGGGGAGAAGGGGAAGGAGAGGGAACTGGGATTGATGTGTAAAAGAAGCTTGTTTCTAATTTAAATTTTAAAAAAGGGAAAAAGTAACCTGTTACGAGAAGCTTTTTCCTCGCTAGCTGCTTTGGTTTATCCCCTGCCAGCCGCCTGGGCTCTGCCGCATTGTAGTCCCCAAATAACACACAAGACGCTGTATTAATTATAAAGCTGTTGGCCTTGCTTGGTTCTTCCTGGCTAGCTCTGACTTAAGTAATTACCCCATAATTATTAATGTAAGTATTTCTCTTACCGGAGAATAGTTCCAGGCTTCCTACCCCATGGCGGTTACATGTCGAACTCTCCTGTGTTTCTCTTTCCCAGAATCCTCCTGGATTCCTAGTCCCTCCTATCTAGATTCCCTATTGGCCAGACAGTGCCTTATTGGCATAAGACTTCCCCAACAGTAATCCATAAATCTTTCAAAAGTAGACATTCTACTTTCACTATGATTCTTTATATACTAAGAAATCCGGGAAAATGATACAATAAGAATTAGTTTTACTTGAAACCCCCTATCAAATACTCACTTTTTATATGTGTATGTACCCATATAAAAGAAATGTTATATTATTTACCATAGTATATTCATTCATTAAAATACATGAATAGACCTGAAACATTGCACTAAGTATATACAATTATAGGATTAAAATGTACAGATTTACTTTTTAATCTTTTAAATGTGCATTCAAATTTATATGTAGCAGTGTTTTGGCTTGATGTATACTTGTGCACTACTGAAGTGTTTTGTGCCTAAAGAGATCAAAAGAGAGCTAGGGTTTCTTAGAATTGTAGTAACAGATGCCTGTGGGTCACCATGTGGTGCTGGAAACAGAAACCAGGTCCTCTGCAAAAGCAGAATTTGTTCATTACTGGCCTCAAAGACTCTACATGTTAAATTTCAAAATCATTTGTTGAAATAAGGACTTATTGACAAAGAGTTTCAAGAATAAAATAGATTAAAATAAAACACAACTTCCATTATCTTGTGGAGCCTGGATATGAAACTGCCATTAGACTCATAATGACTACACTATATGTGTAACTGTAATAATGGGGCAATACTGCCCGTGTATTCTGAGGCATATGTTGAATGCTCTTTATGTATGTATGTATAGGTTCTTCTATACAAGAAAACCACAATCAGACCTATTTACACATTGTGAAATAATCTGTTATCAGACATTCTTATGAACATATTAGCATTTGGTGATCCAGAAAGACAGCACTGTTTATAAGGGACTGGCATTTAACTACTAAAGATATAAGACAAGCAATATCTAAAGAAGACTGTGAACTTAAAGTTAACTATGCCCTATGCGAACTATGCTTAGGTGACATTGCTTCCACTTCTGACTTAATATTGATTACTATGGTAAAAACATCTTACTTATCCGTAAAGTAAAATATGACTAGTTGTAGTTAATAAATTTCACATAAGACAAAAGACACCCAGAAACACAACTCAGGCAGTGCAACAGTCTACATCCATTCACAACGGTTTGGAGCAACATGTAGGTTTTTCTACATGTTAGCCATTGAGTGTCTATTTGGCATTTGTGGGCAGGAGAGAGTGATGGGGCTTTTAAGCAAGAGTTACAGGCAGTAATGACTTACTGAGCAAGCAGGGAGCAAAGCTCCACTGCTCTGGAACACCAGCATATGCACTCAACCAAGATCAATCCAACCTCTCCAGCCCCAAAATTCCCTTTTCATAGATGAAGTAACTACAGAGAGATTATACAAGATGTAAATGTAAAGTTAAATAGTTATGCTTCCAAACACAGCATTTAAAGTTAAAAAATCCTAAATTCCAGTGCATAACTGTTAGTTGACTAATGCCAGGGGGTCTACAGCAATTAGTGATAGTATCATGAAAGGAATTCTAAAAATAGTGGAGAAGCCTACTACATATTTAGAATCATTTTGCTCTCCAAGGAGCTAAAATTTCCCTAGCTTTTGCAATATGTCAACATATTTGACAGGACAGAGCCATGAAGCATGAACTGTGCAAATACACTCTATGAAGCCTTATACTACATTTCTCTTTCCTGGGTAGCAGCTGGCTTCCTAGAAATCCATGGAGACTCAGCTATACCTGTGGCTGTAACTAGCCATGTTGCACACTCATGAAAGTTGTCTCAGGAAGACCCAGCAAAAGAGATACATTTATACAAAGCTATACATAGTATCAAATAGTTTAGAAGAGTTCAACTACATGGAGAAAACAGTTGGGTTTCATAATAGGAGCTCCATGAAAATATCATATATACATGCTTACATAGTGTATATGTATGTATGTACATGCATATATATATATATACATATTGTTCTAAATTAACCATTACATTTGTGTAAATTATCTTATTTTCAATACAAATTCATTGGGAACTTGAACCTACAATTTAACTTCCTTGGACCTCAGAATAAGCATTTGTGAAAGAAGAGGATGTGACCATATGGCTTTCATATTAGCTTCAGAAAATGTTACCAAAGTATTAATTATGGTTAGTTCCATCAGACACTATTTGTGAGGAAACAGATTTCTTTCAAGTGAATTGTAAAAGGGTAAATGAAAAACGCTAAAGATGGAAAAGCTGGCCAAGTAGTCTCTTCCTATAGAATATCATCTTGCTTTTCTCTTAATTGCACACTACTCTGTGTTCCAATTTATA